ACAATTTATTAATAATACGTGGAATATTAGAGGAGACAAGACGGCGGCCGGCATTGTTTATGTTAAAGCTTACGAAACCAGTGACTGATTGGTTCTACATATAAAACTGAAGAAAATAAGACCCTGAGTTTAGCTGTAGTAAAATTAATGTAAAAAATGAATATGGTTGCTTGAAGTACCTGTAATGTTATTTAATGTTAATAAATGGAACAATATAAGTAGCTAACCATTAATGGTAAAAAAAAAGTGAGACTGCTCGTATGTAAGTGCGCACATGTGAGAATATATCGTCATTACTCTACATAAGAATATGAAAGCAACACTTATTTACTGCTCATATATATTGGATTTACTAAGGAAAGCGCATTGAACCCTGAAGTTTCACGTCAGTTATGTTAATATAAAAAGGGGGTAATATGAATATATACGGGGCTGAATATAGGTGAATTCCCACTAACACAGGGATATAACCCTCGCATACTCTGAGGCCTTACTTTTGATAAATGTTTTTTAATTCAAAGATGATTGGTTAAAGTAGTATGGAATGGAATGAAATTCATATAGCTCTCCCACTTATTATAAATAGATGCCAAGATCCATAATCATATACAGTAGTTTAGTATATGTACATTTGCACATCAAATGTGTGTTTAATTTTTATAATTTCTTCCTCAGGAAAGAGATACAGTTCATGATCAATGTTGAGTTCATCTGTACAAGTTTAACTATGCATACAGATTCCTCGAGGGTGCAAGAGCTGCCACCATGAAGTGGAGTTGGGAATTGTAATTGGCACCCAGTGTCGAGATGTGGCTGAAGAGGACGTCATGTCTCGTGTAGCTGGGTATGCTCTCGCTCTCGACATGACAGCACGGGACTTCCAAGAGGAGGCTAAGAAGAATGGAGCTCCTTGGTCGTTGGCTAAGGGTTTTGATACAGCTCTTCCAGTTTCCAGATTTCTCTCAACTGAGGAACTGAAAGATCCTACTGCCATAAAAATGTGGTGCAAGGTGAGAGATACTCCAAGTTTTGTAAAGTGTTGGTGGTACAGTACAGTTCAGTTGTAGCACGTGTGCTTGCCTCTCACCATTGCGTCCCAGGTTCAATCCCTAAATTGGATACATGAAGGGTGCTATCCAGTGTGACTCACCCATAATGCTGCACTGTGATTAGTCAGCTATAAGTTCAACACACATTGAGCCACAGAAAAATTATAAGATATTTAGGTAAAATAATTCTAATAATGGTGATGGTATTCCTCCTGGGAAGAGAACACAAACATTCACTTCCTAAATATACACACCCATGCTCTTCATTTTTCTTATTTTATAGTTTTTTTTTCTTCTAAGCCTAGCTGACTTGCCATTCCAGCCAGGCTCCCTCCTTCCTATTTGACAGTCATTTCATTACATACTGGACAAAGTAGACAACAGCAGCAGCAGAGATCCCTCACCGTTCCCCCTTTATACAGTCTGACCTCGCAAATTCATGCTTATTAGTATCCCACCATACCTGAATATCTGAAAGTCACAGATTTGAGGAATAAGCATTAAAAACATAGAAAAATTTGCTAATCATTTGCTAAAAAACTAAATCCTTATTGTTTCAAACTTACACTCCAATGCCATATTATTGAACAGTTTTTTTAACACTTATTCCAATCTATAAACAATGTGGTTCAGAGTTAAACAATTTAGTGAGCACAAGGTTAGCATAACTTCAACAAATTTCAAAAGACATATGTCAAAAATGAAAACAAATTTCTATGATAAACTATAAAATTGATCCATAGCATATCATAAATTACAATAGCACATATTTTATTTACAAAAAAATAGCTCCTTCAACACACAAACCTTCCTCTGGACAATGTGACACAGTTCAGCCACCCAGCTGACTCAGAGACATATGGCTGCTGTGTGTATGCCATGACATCACATTGGGGGAGAGGGTCAGGGAGCATTGCTGAGCTCGTGACGCAGTTACAGCCCACTGCCTCAAAACACACACATGCGCGTGCACACACACACACCATTTTTATTTGATAATTTTGTATTTTCTTTATTTCTAAGCCACATTAGAGTATTGTAATGATTTTTTTCTCATGTGAACATGAACAAGCGATAAACACTGTAATTGGGGAACGCTCATGAAAATACACGAATTTATGGAAAAACTGACTTCTGAGACACAAATTTGCGAGGTCAGAATGTATTACCTTATTTATTATTAAAATATATACCTGTACTGAACGTATTGTCTTTAATGGGGACTACCTTACACTAGTCTAATCAGATTTGATATAGGCCTAACGAGAGCTAACAGGTACGAGATGACAGTTGATGTGTAAACTTACTTGAAGTGAGAGGGGTGGGACTGGCCTTCCTTAATTTTTTACTTTTATCCTCTTCACCGCTGATCGGCTCATTAGCCACTTGGGTGATTGGCAGCCATCAAACAGGGAGGTACTACCGCCTGGGAAGATATTGGAAGCAGAATGTGTTGTCTAATGGTAGACCCTGCTGCCGTACGACAACACGAAAATTGTGACCAAGCCCCAGGTTGCTGATCTGACTTTCTGCCACATTTACCGGTATATTTTAAGCCTGGTGTTCCCAGATCCAGAAAACCTCCTTTGTGGGGGGCCGGGGGCAAAATTAAAAAATATATATTAATAATAAAGAACCCTAAATAAATAAAAAGATCAAGAGTGAGAAACGATATATGTATACAGTATGTACGAGGCAAAAAGTCAGATCAGCAACCTGGGACTTGGTCACAATTTTTGTGATGCCATATAGCAGCAGGGTCTACCATTAGACAACACATTATGCTTCCAATATCTTCCCAGGTGGTAGTACTGTACCTCCTTACTACCTACTAGCAACCCCCAGGTCCCAAGAGTGGCAGATAAATGGTCCCATACCTGTAGTTTAAAAATTGTTAATATGATGTATTAATTTCAAATTGAGAAAAATACAACAAAAAAGCAGCATGTGAGGGCCAGAAGCACTGAGACTTTCAGCAGACACGAGACAAGAATCCTTTGAAATGCAGTGCAACAGAAAAATAGCAAACATAAGTATATTAGCAGGAAAACAGTAAAAGGGCTAAGATTGACTAGAATGACAAGGGAAATACTGGAAATTTATTTATAAAGATGAGATGCTTTGGCCATATAATAGGTTTGTACAGTACAGGTACTTGATGATTGATGGAAAATTTGATTTTTTAACCTCTTTTTGTCTCGGTGAATGAGTTAAACACCTTGTGTATGAAGGTCTCTCACAGTTAGATTGTAGGTGAGTGCACTGTAGTGTTTGATAATTAAATAGTACTGCTTGGAGGGGGATCTGCCCGATAGAAAATATTTCACAATTTTGCTAAATTACCAGCATGATAATTTATTGTTTTCCAGGTAAATGAGGAGATGCGACAGGATGGCACCACAACAGATATGGTCTTCAGCATACCCTATCTCATTTCCTACATCTCACAATACTTCACTCTGCATCCCGGAGATCTTGTTCTCACTGGCACACCTGCTGGTGTTGGTCCAGTCCAACCAGGAGATGTCATATCAGCCGGCCTGGGAGATCTCTTGACAATGAAGTTCAATGTTGCTCAAAGGGAATAATGTACAGTATTGCTGAATTTGCTATCATGTTGAGTTGTTTGTTAGCATTGATACAGTGGTGTACCTGGTGTACAGAACAGTACAGTAGTCAGTTTTGTAAGTCGAGATGCAAATAGTAGTTTTATTTAATATTGTACTGTATAAATATTTTAAAGGAAATTAGGACAATCATCATAAATACATGTAGAATAGTGACCAACTGCCTAAGCAGCTAACAGGCCAATCAGTGGTGGAGAGGATAAAGTGAAGTAAATATTTTAAGTATGTATAGTAATGTAGCTCTTCTTTGTTTTCTCCCTAGATTATCATTTGGTGGTGCTGCTAAGTTAGAACAATTATAGACATTATTTATTTAAATTTTTTTATTTAATTGCTCAATGTCTGTTGTATTTTTACATTTTTATGCGATTTAATTCAGGGAAAATTTAATCATCAATGGATTTGCAGATTCACAGTATGTTTACTGATTACAATCAATAAACAGACCGTGAATCTGCAACTAATTATCTGTGGTGTAATGCTTTACATATCTATGGTTTATTCTTTCAGTACCTCTCTCATTTGTTCATACACCTGGCACACCACACAATGCTACACTCACTGAATGTACAGAAATAAATATAAATAAAGTAGTATTGTAAAATTCCATTACAAGCAAAGTAAGCTCCCTCTTATCCAAGGTAATTGGGAAGAAATCTGGTCCAGGTTGGGTGGTGGTCGTGTTGTCCATATTGCAAGGTGGAGAATTCCAGAAGATGGGGGTTTTTCGAGTCACTTTACACAATACAGGGTACAGTAATAATATTAAAATTTATTCTGTAATATTGTAATACAGGTTTACATTGATAGGCATGTATATAAACTATGCAGTTATACAGTTCAGTGTGCTTAGGCCATGGGTGTATACAGTTTCTTATATCTTGTACCTATATAGTGAAGGTATACAACACTGGTATAGAGAAAGGTACTGAACCTGTTGCAATTTTTAGTCTAGACTTAACATTATAAGGAATTTTATATGCCATATTCCAGATTCCTCTTATTCTGTTGTTCATTGGATGTATTCACCTCCCTCTCCCTATCTTTGTTACTAGAGAGGGTGGACAGGCAACCTTGGGGGGTGGGGGGGGACTGACTGCAGCAACCCCACACCACCTCTTCACTCTAAACCCTCGCTCGCTCACTCCACCACACTGTCCTACACCTTCCACCTCCTGTACCCTCCATAATTGTTTAAGTAAATAAAAGAACATAGATAAGGTACAAGAAATCATGCAAAGAAATAAAAAAGAAAAATGAAGAGAAAAAGAAATGAAGAGTAATTAAATAATAAATAGAAAATAGACATAAGAAAATCATTTATTATGTGTGTGGGAAAAAAATGATTTTTCCTCATTCTCTCATATGCTCTTGACAGCTTGGTAGCTGGCTCAGTCAACAGTACAAGTCACTGTCTCACTGATCGTCTGGTGTTGCCAAGGAGCTCTTATATGCCTGTCACACCCCAAAAATACCTCCTTTTGATGGCCCACATCATATAGATTTTTTTGTTTTCCTTTTATATTTAGTATTGAAACAAACTTTTAGGTAAACTATTCAAGATCTGTTTGGTTAGAAAATGGCATTTCTAACTCAAGTAGAGTTGATTTTATAAATTCTAGTACAATACAGTATAAACATTATTTACATTTTTCATAAAAAAATAGTTCTTAACTTGTGTCAAAATATTTTATTGTCAATTTTTTTTCAGGATATTTAATTGAATCAATCTTGCAGAGAATTTATTAAAGATCATTAAAGTATCAATTTCATCTTTCTATCATAAGAAGAACGTGTGCTAGAGATAAAAGTTTATACACTTTTTTTCTGCCCTTGGCCATGGCCCCAATATTGGGAGATTGATAAGAGAATTGTACAAAGTTTAGAAGTGGTTCATATGGTGTTCACTATTACTGCAATATAATACACCTGTTGATAAAAATAGAAGCACATAGTACAGTAGGGTTGGGATATATTGCAAGATAGGGTCCAACGATGTTCGCTATATACTAAATCGCGATATATAATTACATGTAATCAATGGGGAAAATAGGGTTAGGTTCTGGAGGCCAATAAAAGTGATTAAACTTGGCTTAACGAGTTTATTTTCATACTAACTAAAGCGCCAATGAATACTAGACTCGGGAACAACAGGCTGTTTAAATATCAATATCAAAGCACACCAGACTCGGCAGCAGACGCCACATTGCCACCCTCACTTGATACTCCCACACCTACACTGTACATAACAAACAAACCAAAAATATTAGTTACAGTATTACATCTTTTCCATTAAGGTTTCCATTCTCTTCTCTTCACTTTTCACGTCACTAGCAACCCATTTACACTCGCCTTTAGAAGTCATAACCTGCACCAGAGTCGGCTGTTTACTCGTCACTCTCTCAGAAAGACTGAGCGGGCGAGAGTGAATGCGTGGGTGAGCAGCCACGGTTCATTTGAAATATTTCCCTCGCGAAATAAATAATTTTATCCCTATATATTGGAAATGTTGATACTCTTGGTAGCTGCGATATAAAATAATCGTTATAAAAAATCGCGATATACCCCGACCCTACTGTACATGTTAATAATGCAATATTGTGCTAATTAATTATTCACTTAACATGAGGTGGTTTAGTAATGAGGTGATTATACAACACTCACAATGAGGTGAGGAGGTGGTTGAGGCAAGAGGTGATTGTATGAGAGAGACATTCACAGTGTGCACCACCGAGGTTGGATCAGAGGTTATGTTTTCATTGCAAATTTCTTTGACTGTATGTACTGTACACTATTTACATTTCTAAGTCATTTCAATTTAGTGCTTCTCTGTAACCACCTCCACCTCCTATTTGGAACCACTTGGGCATTACAGATTCATTCTGAATTCAATTCATATTTGAAAAGCATATTAATTAAGCTTCTCTAGTTCCCCTTTCCTTTCCAAATCCATTTTGCTCTTCAGATAACACTTTCTATTCTAAACTTCATTCTACTTGAAATTATGTATAGTAAAACTTTGCAGGCATGACTTATTAAGCTTATTGGTCAAAACTGGGTTCACTTTAAGGCTCCTGGCTTTTAAGGTATTACAGGTTGTGCTTTGATTTAACGGCAACCCTTTTAAAGGAAACTTGCATTTAACGGCAAAATTTGTAAAAAAAAAAATACATTTAACAATTTTTTGACATCTACTGGCATATGTTACAAAATTGAAATTGGTGGGTGAGACCATGAGATTCTCTTGTGCACCATGTCACTTTCACTAGTGCCACATTCATGTTTATGTTTACCCCAGCAGACTGCGACCGCTTCTGCGTGTCTTGAAATTGTATATTGTATGAACCATGGCTTCTAAGCGGCTTGCAAGCTCGCCAGTTAGTGACAAGGGGTAGAAGAAAAGAAAATCTGGTAATGTATGAGAACAGTTCTACCACCAGAAGATGGTCAGTTTTGTTAATTTTTCCATTTTAAAAGAGGTGGCATTTACTAGAACCTAATAGAACCTGACCTAACCAACTAAAGAAACCTATTTAACCTTATCTAACTTCCTAGCTGGGGAATTCCCCAATCCCTCGCCATACTAAACAGAATACTGTACTTATTTTGATATCTGGTACCAATGTAAGCAACTTTGTTTAAGCGTCATGGTTTAATTCTATGTTTTTTGTGAACATGAAAGTACACTCAGACCGAGCAGATCAATTGTAAACAGACAGACAATATGTGGTGATTCAGCAAAATTTCTGAAGGAATATTTACGGTAAATAATTAATTTCTTCATGTACAAAGCACCTAGAGACATATATCACTTAAGTTTGTGGGTGTTCATGTCAGGAACCTATTCCCCCTTTTCACAGAACAGATGTAACTACTGTATACAGCAGTATGTATGCTGATATATATTACTGTAATACGTCATATTTCTAACAGCCTTGGTAAGGTTCAGTTATCTCTCTTATCCACTAACATACTCCTCGACACCATCAATTCAGTTCTTTAATGCATTATTTTCTCAGTGTTGGAAGTTAATACTAGAAGTTAAAACTAACACTCACTACCTTATAACTGTTCTGTTCTCCATATAGCAATACATCTCGATAACTGCATTAAGAATGAGAAGTGATAGTGAATGAATGGAGAATGTGCATTTTTTGTTTCTAATTCTGGCCACCTAACAGTATGGTTATAAAACTTGAAGGAGTGGAGGAAAAACCTAATTTCTTGCATTATTGTAACTAAAATACTAGTGATTATATATTGTATATCTACTTAGTATGGCTGAAAAAGCTCAAAAAGTTTGTCAGTAACAGCTTGGCAACTGGTCTTCCACCATTCATTTTTTTTTTTTATTGTGTTTTGAAGTGAATCTTTACCATTTCATCACATATCAGTGCAATAATGTTTTTTGTAGTACAGTATATCTATCTAGTAATGTACAAACAAAATACCTTGCAAAGACAACCATCTGTGATTTAGGCACAATATTCTGTGCTGGAACTTGACCAAGTGAAGTGTAGAATGTGGGGTATAAGAAGATGCAGAACATAGGAAGATTGAGTAAATGTGGATCACTGGCAAATTAGGAACTACTTATGAAGTCTTTCAAGTTAAGGAAATCAGAGAATACTTGTGTGTTTGAGTAACTTTCACTTATTGGTGATGCCTTCCTCATTATTAATTTCCTCCCCCCATTTTTGGGGTGGGTGGCGGGCGATTGTTCTGTATACATTGATCCTCTTCATACAAAAAAGTGGGAGAGGAGTAAAGACTCAAGTTGAGCACAGATTTTTTCTTATTGGAAATGGAAGAGTGACAGGAATTACTACTTTCATTATGACCTGTCCTTTGCTGAGATAAACTTTGTTTCCACAACCAGCAATAGACTGCCAGTCAGAAAGTAAGACATGATTCACTTGAAGCTTGATGTGTTTAGGGTAATGAAGGATTTAGAATGTAATACAGTATTGTAAAGTACCTGTCTACTGTACTATATCATAATCTAAGCACAGTGTAAACTGATGTTTTATCTAAAATATATTTTTGTAGACACCTGTACTGTATTGTAAATAAGAGTTGGAAATATGTACATTTTATTTTGATATTGTTAAATGACTATGGGGGTCAATTACATTATAAAATAACATATTATTTACCAAGAAAAATTTAATTTTGGTTGAATAAAATAATAATCTCACAGCAGTGTTTTATTCAAACCACTGTTTGTTTTATTCTTAAAGGAATTGGTCAAATTTAGAGGGAACATTTTATGGATATTTAAACAATGCAGATATAGTAATGAGATGAAGTTTATGACTTGCAACTCCCCTCATCAAGTTTAACTTTACATTTTACTTTCCAAAGCAATTGGGCTGCTCCTTTAGTAATTGTACCTGAAGCTGATAAATCTGTTAGACTATGTGGTGATTATAAAGTCACCATTAATCAAGCTGTTGAGGACAAGCAATATCCCTTACCCACGTCTCAAGATTTGTTTGCTGCACTGACAGGTGGAACCATTTTCACTAAGTTAGACTTTTTCCAGGCATATGCTCAGGTCTCTGTTGATGTTGAAAGTCAACAGTACCTCACCATCAACACTCATAAAGGATTGTATAAGTTCAAAAGGTTGCCTTAAGGAGTTAAAGGTGCAACATGGATAAAATTCTTGTAGGTCTTCCCAATGTGTTATGTTTTCAGGATGATGTCCTTATTGTTGACAGTGACATCCAAAATCATGTCAAAACCCTAGCCACAGTATTTGAAAGGCTGTTGGCACACAATACCAGGCTCAACAAGAGCAAATGTTCATTCCTAGCTAAAGAAGTAACTTATCTTGGCTACAAAGTGAATGCAGAAGGGCTGAGACCGGTAGAAGATAAAGTAAGGCCATAGTAAATTTACCTGCTCCAAAAAATGTCAGTGAATTGAAAGCTTTCCTGGGAATGATACAGTATTAATCAAGGTTCTTGAGTGAACTTTCATCAGTTAAGTGAAAACCGCGTTAAGTGAACAACAGAACATAGGGGATTAATTCCAATAGAGACTGGCCCGACCCCCAAACTCCACTTTTTGACGACACACAACTATGTTGTAGTAAAAATTTACTTAAAACTTTATGATGGTATGATGGTAGGAAAAAAAGGTTAAGTTAGAAAATAAAGGGTTAGGTTAGAAACTAAGTTAATTGTAACACTACGTTAGTAAGACACCTGCGCAACCTTACAGCGGCATGCCCAGGCGGAGGGAGGCGGGAGGGAGGGAGGAGGAGGAGGAAGGATAGGCGAGGCAGGCGGGAGGCGGGTGGCGGGTGGGCGAATCTAA